CCACATTAACAGGCTGTGTTAAGTGGTAGTTAATCTCTCTGAGTTCATTTATGAGAGGTCTAAGTTTCCATTCTAGCTGACATGAGTTATTACACAAGAAAGCCACTAGCCCATTATTATAAAATTATTGCAGTTTTCCCCCCTCTGCTGATTTTGAAGAATTTCCAGCTAAGTAATCTCCTGTAGGGACTGATTTTCTGCCTTGCTTTGGTAAGTCTCTATCTGCCCTTGGAGGCAAGCAGCCTTTCTAGATTATTCTTGGTGAAGACTCTCTGGAGCTGTAGCCATTAAATCAGTGGTCAAATTACTAGGGTTAAAAAAAAATTCATTTTCACTTAAAAGAACGTGTGCAGTGGAACAGTGACCTTTAGTGTATCTGTGAAGAGTGTAAGTGGGGGAACCTCACAGGCTCTGTCGAGTGGTGCAGAGCCTTCAGGAACTCTTGTTGACCAAGAGAGCGCTGAGAGCTGTGGGAACCTCACAGGCTCTGGAGAGTGGTGCAGAGCCTTCATGAACTCTTGTTGACCAAGAGAGCACTGAGAGCTGTGGGAACCTCACAGGCTCTGTAGAGTGGTGCAGAGCCTTCATGAACTCTTGTTGACCAAGAGAGCACTGAGAGCTGTGGGAACCTCACAGGCTCTGTAGAGTGGTGCAGAGCCTTCATGAACTCTTGTTGACCAGGAGAGCGCTGAGAACTGTGGCATTAGTGTGTTGTGTGTGCACGCAGGAGAGCCAATTGGGAGCCAATTAGATCACAGCGAAGAAAGGAGGTGGACAGGGTCTGCCTTTGCTAGTTAATGAACTTGATATAAATTAGAGTCACTCCGGGGGAGGGAACCTGTGTGGGCATGTTTGAGGTATTTTCTTGATTATTGACGCATGTGGGAGGGCTGGAACATGGCTACATTCTCACCAGCTTTTTGTTTTGTGGTTTCCTCCACTGTCTAAGCTTGACTGTCCTGGAACTTGATCTGTAGGTCAGACTGGCCTCAAATGCAGGGATCTACCTGCCTCTGCTTTCTCTGAGTGCTGGGATTAACAGCATGCACCATCAAGCTTTAATTTCTTTTCACAATTCCTTTATACCGTTTAGCACCAGGCTTTTCTTTAAACTTTTTCCTGGTTCTTCTCTTTCTCCTCCAGTCTGCTCCTTTCCATTATAGATCTGCAGAAGCATGGCCACCAGTAACCAAGCAACCCAGCCAGTGTTAGGCTGCCTAGAAATCTCCTCTGCCAAAGCCGTTAGGCCACGACTTTTCAGTTTAGCCTTAGGCAGATTTTTTTTTTAACAAGAGCAGAAAGCAGCTACATTCTTTGACAAAATATCGCAAGAGCAGTCTCTAGGTCATGCACTAATATTCTCCTCCTCTGAAACCTCTTGAGCCAGGCTTCCACAGTCCAAATCACCCTCGGTACCACTGCCTTCCATTCTCCTACTGGTTTAAAGCATTCAACTGCTTTCCTAATCCAAAGTCCGAAACTCCACGTTCCTCTAAATGAAAGCTCAGTTAGGCCCATCGCAGCAATACCCCACTTCTGGTACCAACTTCTATCTTAGTTAGGGTTTCTTTTTCTTCTTTCTGGTTTTTGGAGACACTCACTTTGTAGACCAGGCTGGCCTCGAACTGCCTCTGCCTCCTGAGTGCTGGGATTAAAGGTGTACACCACCGTGCCTGGCTTTAGTTAGGTTTTCTTTTTGCTGTAAAGAGACAATATGACCATGGAAACTCTTTTAAAGGAGTTCAATTGGCGCTGGCTCACGGGTTCAGAGATTTTAGTCCATTACCGTCATGGCAGGTCATTGTCAGCATGGCGGTGTGTGGGCAGACATGGCGCTGGAGAAGGAGCTGAGAGTTCTACATCTGGATCAGAAGGCAGCAGGAAGAGAGAGACATTGGGCCTGGCTTGAGCATTTGAAACCCCAAATTCCACCCCCAGTGACACACTGCTTCCAACAAGCCATACCTACCCCAACAAGGCCACATATCAAATAATGCCCCTCCTTGTGAGTCTGTGGGGACCTTTTTCACTGAAACTACCACATCTACCAACTCCAAGGACTTTGGAAGCTGTGACTTTTTACTCCCAAGTCTATGAGAAGCTCCTACCTTCAGGAGAAACTGAGTGGTAGCAAGCTACTTCTGTCAGTGAAACATCCAAACTACATTCTTCGGGGCCCTGTGGTGGGTAGGGGAGAAGGCTGGTGTAAGGCATGAATGGCCCTGACCCTCAGCTGCCCTAGAGAACGCATGGCAGAGGTATGCTGAGGTCTCAGTGCCCACACAGATCACCTGGGAGTCTCTATATTTGCAGCGAGCTGCCTGCCAGGCGACTTTCACGCGCATGCATGACTCACACTCTGAGCAGCAAGCTCTGGGGGGTGGGGGCAGACTTCTGAGAGGTTAAAAGAAGCAGCCATGAGTGGGCACGGTGGCTCGTACTTGCAAATCCCAGTGCTCAGGAGGCTGAAGTTGGAAGTTTAAGTAGCTGCACAGTGATCCAGAAATAAAGTCATAAAAATGTGCTTTTAAAATACTCCAGCATTCACTGGATTTTCACTGCGTGCAGGCCATTGGACTGGCCTCTGGGATTAAAAACAAACAAAAACCCAAAAAGACAAATAAGACCCAAGACAAACGCTGCAGAGAGCCCACACTTGGAGTGTTAGGATCCTGGTGTCATATTTTAAACTGGTCCTATGTGGGAATTTGTCCTCAGGGATCTCAAGCCTGGCCTAGCACACAGAGTTAGATCTCATCCCAAAGAAGATGAAGTGTTTGGGAGAGGATGTCAGCATGACTAGAGCCATTGGCCCTCCTGCGTGTGAGTCCCTGTATTAGAAAGGCGAGCGTCATATCTATCATAGTGGGGCTGCCGGGAGAACTCATGAGCGTGCCCAGTGCACGGTTATTACTGAGTCCAGTTGTGAAACACATACCATACCCTGTGTTGGTCCCCATGGGAAAAGGTGCACCTCAGGACTCGGCCTTGATCCTTGAGGCCATAGATGGTCTGTGGTTCCAGAGATTCCATCCTTCATATTACACTGAATTTATTACATTTATGATATCTGGTATTTAAGATCAGTGTCTGTGGAAGTTGTTTCAGTAGCAAAATTATTACTGCCGAAGACTGAATGTTTTGGGTTCAGAGTCAGAGAGATCCATGGACCAAACCAACAGGAGAGGGGCCCTTCAGCCAAGGACAGGACTTGCAGACTGCCAGACTTCAAGTCCCGGAAAAGACTGAATAACAAAAGCAGAGTTTGGAGTGGGGACGGGGACACAGCAGCACATTGACAACCCTTTGCCAGTTTTCTAATTTCATAAATCGTATGTGACATTTTCTTCCTTCGATAGAAACCATAGATGGATGTTTTGGCCTGGCTCGTCCTGGGCCGGTAGCCGACATTAAGAATTCAGCTTGCTATATGTACTATAGTGCTTGCTATAAAATAATTCCAAAGCCGGGCGGTGGTGGCGCACGCCTTTAATCCCAGCACTCGGGAGGCAGAGCAGGCGGATCTCTGTGAGTTCGAGACCAGCCTGGTCTACAGAGCTAGTTCCAGGACAGGCTCCAAAGCCACAGAGAAACCCTGTCTCGAAAAACCAAAAAAAAAAAAAAAAAAAAAAAAAAGAATTCAGCTTGTAGCTCCCGGACTCTGGACTGACAACTACAGAGACTGCACAGGACCAGCCTAGGCCCTCTGCGTGTGGGTCATGGGTGTGTAGTGGTCTGTTGTGGTGGTGCATAGCTGGCTTATGGGAACCCACTCCCCATGTTGCGATGCCTTGCCCTGCTTGATGAAGGGGGAGGAGCTTGGTCCTTCTCAACTTGATATGCCATGCTTTGTTGACTCCCATGGGAGGCCTGCCCCTTTCTGAATGGAGGTGGAATGGATGGGGCCAGGGTAGGTGGGAGATTGGGGAGAGGGAACTGGAGGAAAGGAGAGAGGGGAAACTGGTTGGTATATAAAATAAATGAAAAAATTTAATTTAAAAAAATCTCAAATAAAAAATAAATAAATAAAGATTCTATGCTAAGATCCTCAAAAACAAAAGTGAATTCAGCTTGTGAAACTTAGTAGCTCAATATACTGGTTGCTCTTACAGAGGATCTGAGTGCCCAGCACCTATGTAATAACAGCTGCAGGGCATCCAGTGCCCTCTTCTGGGCTTTGTAGATAACTGCACATGGGTCTACACACAGAGATATACATTTATAAGCATATAAAAATATTCTTTAAAAAGGATTTCAGATGGCGGTGCTGTTAGAAATGACACAGACCATCTTCACATTCTACCCGGTTCCAAGCCGACAGGTGACGTCCCCAGGTGCTGACCTGAGGTCAAGTGTTTCTTGTTAACAGACTCCCAAACCCTTGGCTAGAACTCCCCAACACCGCAGAGCAAGTGTGTTCGCTCATTAGTCTTCCTGTCACTCAGGCTGAATCCCTGACAAGCAAGAATGTAAGAGAGGAAGGGATGCTTTGGGTTCCTAGTTGTAACAGGTAGATAGCGTATACAGCCCATCTTGGTGGGGGAGGGCACGGCCTAAGGAGTGTGAGGTGGCATTGTGTTCATGGTCGAGGAGCAGTAAAATGGACAGGGAATAGGTCTGGTCTGTAAAACCTCAAGCCCCTCCCCCCCCCCCCCCCCCCCCAGTGATCAACGTTCCCCATTCCCAGCCTCCAAGTTAGGTTCCAATACCCCAACCTTCCATAACAGCATCTGCCACAAGCTGGGGACCAAGTGTTGTTGAGATAGATGAGCCTGCAGAGGCACCACACGTCCAAACCACAGCAGCAGGAAGCTGGAGTCCTCACATTGCCTTCCAGTGAGAATTCAGACACAAGAGGACACTGTTAGGCCTCAGCACAGCCTGGCGTAACGCATATGCACTGATACAGCCAAATTCAGAGCTAGCCACCTAGTCTTGGCTAAACGAACCCTAAGCAAAGCAAAGCTAATGAGAGCTGTCCTTCTCCCTGTCGCCTGCAGGTCCCAGGAGAAGACAGAAGAAGCCATCGTGCTGCTGAAGGAGTCCATCAAGTATGGGCCGGATTTCGCCGATGCCTACTCCAGCCTGGCTTCCCTCCTGGCTGAGCAGGTAACTGTTTCCATTTAATTTCACACATGTTTCTCCAATTAGTACTGTCAAGCACATCGGCCAATATTATCACAGACTTTTATAGAAATAGCGTAACTAATAATTGGTAGCTGCAGTCAAACAGTGGCTCTTACGTCCGTCTCAAGCTTTCTCTCTGCGTAAGGATCAGACTGAGCTCCCTGGTTGCAGTCACCTGGCCTACATAAAAGAAATGACTTGATCCCACACATCAGTTACTAAGGGTACAATTTACATTTTAAACATTTCAAAAGTTCCAGCGAGCACCAAAATTAGAATAGTCTATGAATATTCAAGCGGCAGAAATTATAAACTTGGTTTCTGCGCTTTAATACAGCCATTCCCAGAACCTTCCTCAGACACGGAAGAAACCTGTGGCCCTCTGGGTCTCATATAAAATGGCATTGGGGGTGGATAACTCTTGTGCACATTTTTAATTACTCAGCTTAGTACAGTATACACCAGCTATGCACATAGCTGCTACACCGTGTTGATTAGGAACCAAAGACAAGAAACTCCAGTACAGACATGATATTTTCTGAGAGTGTGTGTAGTGTGTGTGTGTGTACCGGTTCAGAGAGGCTATCCAGTACCTTCCTATGTTGCCCCTCTCCTTTATTCCTTTAAGACAGGGCCTCTCGCTGCCCCTGAAGTTTACTCTTTTGAGTACACTGGCCGGCCAATGCACTCTGAGGATCTACCTGTTTTTACCTGAATCACTGGGGTTATAGACCAGTGTCCATGTGTGTGCCAGGGATTCAAACCTGGGTTCCTAAGCGTATACAGCTAATCCTCTCCCTGCCCCTCCTCTGGGTGTTTGATCTCAGGTTTGTTGGCTCTGCAGGTAGAAGGGGTCCCTGTGTTCTCATCAGCACCGACAGGCTGTAGACAGAAAGCCAGTGGGGGCAGATGACGTACGCGTTCAGTCCTGGACAGCTTCCAGCTTACATCCATGAAGACACTGGAGGGTTTTCTAGAGCAAAGATTGCCTGCATCCCTCAGCACCACGTCTTTGCACTTCACCCTGGCTCCTTCATCTTTTAGAGACACACACCTTGCCTCTGCCTGTGACCTAGGCATGCCAAGCCCCCTCCCTGCGCAGGCATTTTCCTCAACCACCACACATCTGTGACACAGATCCGTTTCCGTCCTCCTGCCATGCCGGTTTCTGCCCACACAGTACCTCGAGGTCTTCTGTGATGACCCTCTCCCCACTCTCTGCCATTTCTTCCATCACCTTGTCCTGCATTTTCCATTCCTTACAATGTTATACCATGTAACACAGCTTTATGTGCTAGTGGTCTCCCGCCTACCTCCAGAATGTCCGCCTCTGTAAGGACAGTTATCGTCCCTTACGGTTTTCTCCCAGCTGCCCGGCTGCACACAGTCGGCAGACTCCAGATTGGTGAGTAAATAAATAAACCTGGAGAGTGTGCAGTGCCCACGCCAGAGCCCGTTTTGGGCTCGGGATCACACTGCTGTCGCTGAATCATGCTTCAGTGAGTCGATCTGCCCTGTCTGAGGACTAGTCTGAGAAGCAGTCTTGGGGCGCTGTCCGTAGTGACCCCAGATTGTCCGCCATGAGGCTGTGGCCATCATCCCTTATGCCATTCAGTGTGTCTGTATGGGGCCCTGGGGGTAAGAGAGCCATGTTTCAGTATTGGAAAACCTATATATGTTTCTCCTAAATTACATTTAGTTTTTATTTTGTCTTTAATCTGGCGCATGCAGATTTTCTATTTTCTGGAAAGGCCAATTCTGTCTCCACTCCTGTTTCTCCTCGACTGACAGCCATCTGGACGGTGTTAGCTGCCTCTTCTGTGCTGTTCTTACTTCTACGTTTGTTGTTTTTTTTCTCAATTCATATTATGCTCATGTTCCTGCCTTGATTTCATTACGCCACAATGAGGCGTGAGTGGAGGTTGTGCTAATAGTTTCCAGCTCAGATTGGCTCTCCCAGCTCCCCAGGCAGGTAGCAGACTTTGCATTGCCCATAAGGAAGACACCACAACGTTAAGAACATCAGGTTTTGCATCTGCAAGTGACAGCCAAGCCTGCTGTCTGGGAGTCCTCGGTGGACTGAGACTCTTGCCAGTTCACCATGCTCAGGACCGTCCTTGCTTCCAGAACCGTACAGTTTCCAGTCCCTGCCCAAACTTCCTCCGCTTCCCCGTCTGGTGGTGAGTTTTACCTTCCAGAGATCTCTGTGTTCATCCCCTTTCCTGTTGCTGCGAACAGATACCGCCAACAAATGCAGCTCAGAGAGGAGGGGGTGCTCACAGCTTGAGGGTGCAGCCTGTTGTGGAGAGAAAGAGGGGCGTGGCGATGAGCGGTTCTGTGGTGCGGGGGATATTTGACGTCTGCTAGCTCACATCTCAGCGGTTCGGGAAGCAGACAGGAAGTGGGCCCGGCTATAAACTTCAAGGCTTGCTTCCATAGTCCCACTTCCTCTACCTAGAGATACTGTCAGAGGACCAGGAGCACCAGCTGGGACCCAAATGACCCGTAAGGGAAGTTTCACCCTTGAGCCATGACATCAGAATACAAATTCATCATTTATTTCATTTCTTGGGTTAGTATCCTGGGATAAAATTTAAATCATGTGGGCCAGGGAGATGGATGAGTGGGCAAAGTATTTGCTGAGGAAGCGTGAAGTCTGGAGTTCAGATCCTCAGACCCTGCACAAAAAGTGAAGCAGGCATTATTCCTACCTGTAATTCCAGCACATGGGCCCTAGTAGGCATCCCAAAGTTTCAACTGTACTCCCTTTCTAAATTGATGGATGATGGACTCAGTTCAGTTACAGATACTACCTCAGGGCTGGCGTGATGGTGCAGTGGTTAAGAGCACTGGATGCTCTTTTAAAAGACCCGGGTTTCCTTCCCAGCACCCACGTGGCAGCTCACAACTGTCTGTAACTCCAGTTCTAGGGGATCGGGTACCCTGGCATACACATACGTGCAGACAAAACACCAATGCACATAAAAATAAATAAATCTAAAAAAAGATTAGTTAAAAATATATATATACTTTTTCCTTAGCTGAATTTCGAGAGTGTTGGATGGGATATCTGAAATGATTTCCTGACGGAGCTGTTTTCTGTGGAAATGTGTCTTGCTGATGAGCAAAGCCATCCCATTCCACCGTCAGAGCTCAGCAGCTGTGAAGGAAAAGAGGTTCTGCAGGAGACCATCATCCTGTCTGACAGACAAGTGCTCTTCCCACTCTGGGGGCTAGGAGTAGGTGAACTGCTTTGGGCTCTGAGAATCTCACAGAAAAATCTGAAGGGTTCTTCTACCCTAGGGCCATTGGTTTTAACTTCAAAGAGACCAGACAGCTGTAAGGCGGAACTCAGGGCCCCTCCCTTCTCCAAGCCTTTCAGGAAGAAACGTGGTTTCTGATATACAGTGCGTGAACAGGAGGTCAGAACCCAAACCTGACATTCTTTGAAGCATCCTTTCCTAGTGACCCCACTGTTAACAGCATCCTAGCCTTTCAAACACCCAGAAATATGGAAGCAATGTTCTTACACTTTGGTCAGCTTGCACACACATGTGACACTTCACCTCCCCCAGAGCAGGGCTATCATCTGTCACACACACAGCCCTTGCTCATGCTAACTGTGGACCAAGGTCACGCTAAAAAAAATGACGACTGAATAAAATCTCCCGTGTGCAGGCCAGATTCCAGAAGCTGCGTGAAAGAACTCACATTTAATTTCTAGTTTGCCAAGAGCACAGCCTGTGTGGACTGTAAGGCACTGGGCAACTAGGGTGTCCGTGCAAGATTTGTCTGTCGAATATGCTTGGTTTATTCACACCAGCATTCCTTATACTGTTATAATAATAGGGTTCCACTGGGGACTCCTCTCTGGTAAGGACACTTTGGAAGCCTAAGGCTCTCTGCCCGCGTCTGCAATGAAGTCTTCCGGCTGTGGTAGGCTGGGAGGACAGCACTGGTGACGGTCGAGGAATTCCTTGAGAGCATAGACCAGCAGCTGGGACTGACTAGTGGCCCTGTGTGTGCCCAACGGAAGTCCAGACGTTCAGGGATCACCAGGACAAGGGCGTGCACAGAGCCTTAAGGCTGCTTGCTGGTGGACTAGAGAAACCAACTCTCAGAGAAAGGGAGTGCAACCCTAGAGACCATTTCTAAAGTGACAACTTTTGTATTCGTTGGCTTTCGGGGCTCACAGCTTGGGGCTGGTTCACTAGCATCAACATCACCATGGGTCACTTGGTTAGTGTATCAAGGCCTGCCCTGGGCTAAGCACCCGTCTGAGCTGCCTGGGCTTGCTTCTGAGGCCTAGCTTTGGCAGAGCTGCCTCCTGGCAAGCTCAGGCATCGTAACTCAAGTCACACAAAATGGCTTTCAAGTTACACGAAATGGTTTGTTCCCACCTAAGTTTTTTGTCTCTGCCTGTAATTTCCGATTTTCTAGCATTTTTAGCCCTGTCCTTTCTGCCATTTAAAGTACCAGTCACCTTTCCAGCTGGCTTCTTCAGTGCAAACATTTAGGAAGAGTAACGTTCAGTTATTTGTTTATGTCTTAAAAGAAAAACTGTACGGCGATGGGGACAGTGGCTCTGGCTTTTGTCCAAGTATTTGGGAACAGAAGCCTGAGAATCTCAGAGACACAGAACCCCAGCAGGGCCTCTCTGGGACAGACACACAGAACCCCAGCAGGCCCCTTCCAGGACAGACACACAGAACCCCAGCAGGGCCCCTCTAGGACAGACACACAGAACCCCAGCAGGGCCCCTCCAGGACAGACACAGAGAACCCTGGCAAGGCCCCTCCAGGACAGACACACAGAACCCTGGTAGGGCCCCTCCAGGACAGACACACAGAACCCTGGTAGGGCCCCTCCGGGACAGACACACAGAACCCTGGTAGGGCCCCTCCAGGACAGACACACAGAACCCCAGCAGGGCCTCTCTGGGACAGACACACAGAACCCTGGTAGGGCCCCTCCAGGACAGA